TACGCGAAAGTAGTTCATTACAATTACAAATTTCTTTTTAAAAGTAATGCAATTACTTTACAATTACTTATTTCTGAGAGTTACCCACGTTGGGCCATTTAACTGTAAACGAGTTATATGGCCGCTGTATAAATGTCACGCATTGTACTTTCCTTTTATGAAATTTGTTAAATGGATTATAGAACTTAATGTTTTAGAGTAATGAACTCCTGCGTTCTTATATTCTCACAAAAATAAAAACTAAATGGCGACAAAATTCACAGGTGCGAGGTGAATCTCCTTAGGGCTTATGCAAATGGTATCCAAGTCAAACCAACAAAAATAAACTTAAAAAAATAATACAAGGAAACAAATATGCAACAGTACTGGTATCATAGAACTCACGTAAAAATGGCTAATAAGAGAAACTTGTAAACGACGTCAAACATTTAAAGAATACGACAACTTACGAAAACATTTCAGCCACGATGATTCGCTGCCTCTCCCTGCCTGTAGACTTGTAACATGCCGGATGAGGGTAACCGTAGCACGCGAACTGTGGTCGCTTCCACAAAACTAGTGTCACAATAGCAGCAACTCTATTGCCAGGGATTCTGGGTTAATTCAGTGTACGGTAACACCCAAAAAGCTCCTGAGATAGATAATAAATTTAGGATCGTCATGTAGCTAATCATTAGGATAGCAATGATTGTATCGATGTTATGCGTCTCATAAAGAAGACCGATTTGAATTTAGCCATGGCAAGAGCAACCTCGAAAAATTAATGATACACTGTGAACGACTTTATTTTCGCGAATTTTGCGAATCGCCTGCGATTCGCGAAAAATAAGTCCCGCGAGTGATTCCGGTAAAATGTAAACACATTGGAATCTATATTGCGACCCCACCGCGTTACGAAAATTAGAATCCGCGAATTATTCCAAAACTGCGGCCTCTTGGACGCCTCGATTTCATGAGCTACTTGAGCGTGTTTCAGCTGGAAGATATAGACGAGCCATTAATATTATTTTGTATAACTGTAAGTATTATTGAATGTGACAAAAAAGTTGCCTACCTGCTAATGTTTCCGCAAATTGGAGGTCGCCTTTCGGTTTGTTGAATTTGTTTTCAGAGACGGTGCGGAGGGTTTGCACCTCACGATTATATTTTTTACATTGCTGCTAATCTGTTTAAAGAATTTTTCGTAACAAGAGCTCCGGCAGCCTTTCCTTTTCCATTGTAGATAAGACTGTTGCTGGTTCTCAATACACAGCAGCACTGCGCGCCTCGGGACGGTTCCACAGGCCAGGACGAGAGGACAACGCGTGGAGGGCCACGATCACCGTGGTCACGATAGCGGTGTAAGAACAAAATGCAAGCCAAGCCCTCTAAAAAAAAAAAGAAAAAGAAAAAATTCTTCAGCGAACAACAAATGTAAAAACAAGCTCCCTACAGTCTAAGGCCGCGGTTTGTAAGTTTTGGAATCTCTTCCAATCAGGCTGAGAAACGGCTGAAAGGGTTAGGTAGAGCGAACACTAAATAATGATTTATACAAAGAGGTAGACGAGGATTGGGAGAAGGAAGAGCAGTGTAGCAACAACAGTTGGAAGTAAGGCAGGGTGAGTCGTGTTAATGAAACCTGCTGCTTCTTTGCTTCTTCGCCTCGATGTTAGAGTAGCACGACTTACTGTTAGTGGTACCATCATACGAGATAGAGAAGAAGGACGTGAAAAACTCATAAATAAAAGAGAATAATTTCATGAACAAAAAAGTCCCCAAACTTGACTGAAATGTGTAAGCGAATATGCTAGCAGCGAAGACGAGTAAGGAGAACCTCGAACCTCCCCACCTCGACCGGATGATGTGATCGGAGCCAACCAGCTCGACTTTGACCCCCGATGCCCCCGTGTGGGAATGAGAAATAAGAAGGACCCCTAGAAACAGGTGCAACAGGAAGCGAACGAGACCAAGAGTCAGATTCAACTATGACAGGAACGAAAACGGACGCGAATGTAGCCCTCATTTATCAAATTATTTCTCAAATTCTTCATTAAATCGTTTTACAGTCTACCCCTTCATTCCGTTCTATCCCAACCTCTCTTTCCCATTCCTCCTTTCCCTCCTTTTGAGCAGGTTTGGATACCCACTGTCGCTTTGGCTGCACTGTCGTCTCCGTGGCCAAGGGGAAAAAGCGCCACCGCCGCAAAATCTTGCAAAAGTAATTGTAATTGTGCCTGAAATTTAGCAATTACTGATGCTAGAAAGTAATTAAATTGCAATTACAATTTCTTCTAGTCAAAAATAATTATTAAAATTACCAATTACCAGGAAAAGTAATTAAATTACAGTAATTCAATTACTGTAATTGAATTACTACCCAAGTATGGCGCTCGGACCGTAGCTGAAACCAAGTATAGTTTCATTGTTCCCAGATCCCGTATTTCGTGTTTATCCTCATGGGCCTCCACTAAATTGCAAATCGGATGTTTTAAAAAGGGTTAAACTAATGCCGTTACCACCGAAGTGTAAAACTTTCTTTTACAGATTTCACTCTCGCACCACAACTATAAAAAAGTGGCTCAACTTACGCGGGATTGAGACATACGGAAGCACTGACTGTAGACTTCGCAAATTTACCGAAACGTTCACCCATGCTTTTATACTTTGTGTCGACGCTGTATTCTTTTGGGGTGCTTTAAGACGCACGCTGAAAAAGGACTTTGTAGTGGAAGAGGCAAACCTTAACTATTTGCATTTCGCCGAACACTTCGATGCCATTCAATACATTGTAGGCGTATGAGGTCTTTACAGTTTGTGGAAAACGCGTAAAGTGGATAATGAAGAAGGTGTCGAAAAGTCATCCTGGGTAAATCTTAAAAATATATTGCCATTCCAGTAGGTCAAAGCATATTGACCGGCTGTGATGAAAATGATGAATGGAAAGATGTAAAGAGTCTTAGTCGTTTTCCTGATTTTATATAATCCATGACAACACCAGTCGATTTACAAAGTCTAATTGACACCTTCCTTTTGTGATGAGCGCTGTGTTTGTGTAAATTTTTAATATGCTGTAAACCCCTTAACGTTCGCGAGCCCTTAATTTTCGCAAATGACGCGAACTGGAAAATTTGCGAAATTTAAGGGCACGCGAAAATGATGATCCTTAAGAGTTTCAATGCAGGCGTCTGGAATTCGCGAAATTTAGTGGCCGAAATTTAGATTCGCGAAGAACTTGGGCCGCGAAAATAAAGGGTTTTACAGTATAATGTAACGCATATGTAACGCACTGCTTGTATATAATATAACGGAAATGTACCGCATTGCATATATATTGTAACGAAAATGTAACGCGTTGCTTGTATATAATATATATGTATATAATAATATGTATATATATATATATATGTATATAAAACACAAACATACAAAGTAAATGTATCAACCACACAAAAACTAGTAAGAAGAGACGTATGTTTGTCGCCACCGCTGAACATGGTCGACCGTGCATTCCTCCTGTATTCAATATTTGTGATTGGCGACGAAATCTTTGGTATGCCAATGTCAACAGTTCCCGTAATCTTTCAATGGCTATAACCTTCGCGGTCTCAGAATGGAAGATAGGCGGGTGGGACCATAGCCATTGTCACTGGAGAAGTGGATCAATAATTCCTCCTTCGAAACGATTGTTTGCGCGGCTGTGACATAAGAAAACTATAGATCTATGAGCACTGGTGGATTGTCTTTATGTTCTGAGCATTACTCTTATCATAACGCAAAGTCTCAATGGCGACGAAGACACTCTTCATTTATGCTTCGTATCAATAGTTTGTTAATCTGTTGAGCCTCCATCGTATGTTTATGGAACAAAGCAAAGAACTACCGGGAGCCATTAAACTTTATAGCGTAATGTATTGACTTGTTCTAAAAACTTGTAATCATCTTGTTAAGACGTCATAAAAAAAAACACTAACCTAGAACTGAAGTTTAGGGTGGCAACCTGAGCAAAAAATTGCTCAGGTTGCTCATCACTGTTACGCGAACTTACAAGCGAGAGAAAATCGTTTTCAGCTCGCTACCTCTTGTTGCAATTAACGCTTCTAACTGAAAGAGAGTGGTCGTCTGTTCTTGGCCCTCGTGTTTTTCTTCCTTCAAACTGAAGAGAGAAGCAGCTCACAGAAATTCGATTAGTTACGTCGAGAGCACAAGGCAAAGCAAAACGCGGCTGTAGTCGATCTTGAGAGAAGGTGAGGTGGGGGTGGGGATGGAGCTTTGTGCCGGGCCGCTCGATCCTCAGCGTCCCAGCTCGGGCATAGCCTAGGACAGTCGTTCTCAAATGGGGGCCTGTGCACCCTTTGGGGTCCTCGATGGCATCCTATGTGTTCGCGAAGCCCTGTCTCATCAGTCAAGCCCGGCAATATAACGTCTTTTTTTTTTTTCACATTGAGAAGCCACATTCCAATTTTCGGGTGAGTACTCTCGTGTGTATGTCAATGAGATAAGTGTTATTCACACTAGCAATTAGTTATATTCATTTATTAAATCATTATCATGATTAACCCGTACCTTTCTATTCCCCTCACCCTGAACGGGGTCCTCCATCATCTCCGCCTTTCTACAAGGGGTCCGCGAAACATCAGTGGTTGAGAACCACTGGCCTAGGGTACAGCTTGGGTACAGATAAAATAAACACGTGTTCTAGAACCCTCCAATTGTATAATACCATAGTGGGAGGCAGGCACGTAGCTAGGGTTTTGTTTCGGGGCGGGGGGCACCTATGACAAAATGCTGTATGAGGGGGAGGGGGGAGAGGAGGTCCCAGCAAAATTAAATATTTCGGGGGGGGGGGGGGGGGGGGGTGGCACGGGCCCCATAGCTGCCGCCGCCGCCCCCGCTCCCGCACCCCCCCCCCCCCCCTCCCCCCTGGCTACGCGCCTGGTGGGAGACCCGCTGACAGTGAAGCGTAGACAAATGCGGAACAGATCATGCCTTCACGCACGCGGTACCCACTTTGTGTATTTCAGGGAAACTTCGACCACACTGCACGATCGTGATGGTGGCGGAGGGCGACACTTCAAAAGCGTGGTGATGATAACCTCGACGTTCCGGTGTTCCGACCTCCAAGTTGTCCGACCGGCGGTTCCAAGCTCGAACGATGTCCTACCACTCAGCGCCGTGGTGGAGATACTGCCTTCTCTTCGTCTTCGCCTGCCAGTTGCTCCTTGTATGGCTTTCTCAAATCCTGCTTTCTTTTTTCTTCTTCTTTTTTTTTTTTTTGATGTCGCGGGTCCAATAATGGGATCGTGGCAATTACAAGTAATCAAAAAATCCTGTCCGTTTCGGCGATTACTATACAGCTTAGAGAACACCGACGTTCGGGGCACATCGACGATAATAAAACAGCCTGCAGTTCGCTATAGACCTTTTCTGAAAATCCCGCAATGTCTCTCGTCAACCTCTTTTTGCACCGCGCGGCGCGGAGAGTTGTGGGGCCGATCCGATGTACGCACGAGCCGGCTCGTAACGCACGAGCCGGCTCGTAAGCTCTGTGCATCCAAATTCCTTCTCTTTTACTACTGCGTGTTCAGAACACAAAGAAAAGAGCGAGCGCATTCACAACGTCAATACGCACCTTGTTATGTTATCTTTCTGCATTCTTTGTGCTTTAAAATCCCAAAATGCTGGACAAACATGAACCACTCCTTCTACTTGGGCACTCCTTCACGCGCCGTATATACATCGCATTGCCGTATAGTGTGTTTAAAAGACGATGGGAGGCGCTGCGTATTTCCTGAATGTAAAACCCCTAGATATGTTTGCGTTTGACTTGCAAGTAGAGTCAAATGCGCCAGTGCACGAGGCCCGTGCATCAAGCAGCCCTTGGAAGCTAATGGCGGCGCAGCAATGAGATGAGCGGCCCTTGGAAGCGAATGGCGGCGGAGCAGCTGCTCGTGGCACGTGTCTTGCGCATTTCCACAACAATGGTTGGCGGTACTTGTAAAAAACGTCGTTGTAAAGGGGCTTTGCCTGAATGTTCTATTAATCAAATTCATTAGAGGACCAATCACCTTGAAAAAAACGGTATGTTTACCATTTCACTGAACGCTCGCTTCATGCACCATTTTCTGCTGTTTAAATTCCTCGCAAACATGAAAAGAAAGCGCGAGTTTTTTTTTTCTTTTTCCATTTCACACTGATATTTTCGCCAGCTTAGACCTACTAACGTTGCATATAGACGCTTTGCAGCAGCTGTGCATGGACGCCGCCATAACTGACCTTCAGTTTTTGCTTCCTCTTATTTCATTTATTTCACTTCATCATTACCATAGCAGGCCAGGTTATTGCCATATTAGATTCAACTGCGTCCTTTTTCTAAAGCATCGGCCTTTGTAGAGAATCGTCAACTACTGTTTCGGTTGCTCGGCATCTCGGTAAGACAAGAGAAGGTCAGCAATGGTGGCTGTAATTTGGCGCGTGTGTAAAGCGTCTATAAGGCCGAGGGCACTTAATTTTTTTCACATTCAAGCATGCGATTGTGGCCTATTTGCGTGGGAAGAATTCTGACGCAATCTTGAGCCCGCTACAATCTTGAGCTGTATTTTGCAGTAGTTGTGGAAATAATTGTTTCTTTTTTTATGTCTAAAAAAACCTGTCTTTTATCTTACGAAGAGACTTCTGGTAACTCGCACACCTGCCCTTATTTTTGAGCGCGTGTCTCCCACAAGCAGAAAGCACCAAATTTTTTTGAAAGATCACCAACTTAAATATTTAAGAAGTTTTTATTCTGCTATTCAATATGAATGGCCGGTGAGGTAACTATTTTAGCTAAAAAAAAAAAAAAACAGTGGCCGACTCTATATATATATATATATATATATATATATATATATATATATATATATATATATATAGGGTGAAACAAGGAGACGCCAGGCTCTTTAAATCGACCGGAAAATTCGGTTTCTTAACCTATCGCGCTACGATTTTGTGCAGCGTTGCCCACAGATGGTGCATTTTTTCTTGTAAAATTTGCGAAGAGCGAACTTACCTGAGGAAAACGTGAAGAAAGAAAAAGGCTTAGCTCCTATGGAAACGCAGCGACGCCACCGGTCTACAAACAACACGGCGCCGTTTCGCACGGGAGACAAGAGATGGCGACGCGACAAACGTTGCCAACGAACGAGCATAAGGCGCCGAGAGCAGGCCTTTTTAGCAGACGATCTTCTCGACTCAAAAGCGGCGCGCGTTCCGCAGGCGGCGGCAGTCGCAGAAACAAAAAAGACAGGCGCGGTCACAGCAAAAAACTGCAGTTCCTTGTCTGCTAAAGACGCCGGCTGTCGGCGTCGTCTGCTCGTTCGTTGGCGGCAGTTGGCGTCGCGACCGCTTGCGCCATCTCTTGTCTCCCGTGCGAAACGGCGCCGTGTTGTTTGCAGACCGGTGGCGTCGCTGCGTTTCCATAGGAGCTAAGCCTTTTTCTTTCTTCACGTTTTCCTCAGGTAAGTTCGCTCTTCGCAAATTTTACAAAACAAAAAAAAAAGCACCATCTGTGGGCAACGCTGCACGAAGTCGTAGCGCGATAGGTTAAGAAACCGAATTTTCCGGTCGATTTAAAGAGCCTGGCGTCTCCTTGTTTCACCCTATATATATATATATATATATATATATATATATATATATAAAGAAATTAGTAATAGTAGTAACCTTAAGAATGAGCGTCTAGCCTGCATGCACTTCTGCATTCGGTACAGGGCTCGGTGCTGGGACTTGAGTTCCACGGAAACTACCCGGCATTCGCACCAGCAGGGAATAGGAGCGACGATCAGATGGAGAACGCCACCTGCTCGATCCGTGGCGTGCACCTCGACATCGATCATTTCAAGAAGAAAGCCGCCGTCGACTGCTACATGTACACCAACGGCCTCCGCCCCGAATTCCAGGGCAAGTAAGTCACAGGCAAAAGCCGCTGCGTCATTTTTGTATAAAATAAAATGCGATACCTTACAAAAATGTTTATCTACTTTCTACAGTTTTTCTATAAAAAATAGTCTATAGAGGATATATATATTTAAAAGAAAATCTATCCACTTTTCTATCCATTATCTATAGCTTTTTGGCCGCATCTTCTATAGACCTTAATTTTCGTGAAAAAAAAATCCTGAACCTTAATTTTAGGTGAGTCAAAATACATACATTGAAACACGGACTTGCCACTTGCCTTATGCACATACGCAGATATCACAAATACACACGCCACTTATAACAGTAGTAATTCAGTAGTGTTGACTGCTCCACCGCCATATATATACCCTGCATTTGGAAGGCAATCATTTGAATGAGGACCACCCAGAAGATAAAAAAGATTACAAGTATGGCGCTTTTTTCTCGCCATTAATTTATACTAAATGTGATTTATAAGGGTTAGTGAACTCTGTCTGCAACTATGACGCATTGCAAAAAAGCAATAATTATTTCACGCAGTCGAAAAAATTGTGCAAGGGAGTTCCAACTGGGTGTAATACCGCTTCCCCATACTGCATCTTATTATTGTATCAAGTCTAGTCTATAGAAATGTGATATAAATATGGTGTCAGAAAGCCTATTGAGACGTGGTGATAAAAATTAAATAGCACTTTTATTATCCATACTCTTTAGAGTTTGGTTGAAAAAAAGTCTATAGAATATGCATTGAAAATTGTCGATCCGACGTGACCGGATAGGAAGTTGAAAGAGTCGTTAAAATCTGGATAAGATTTATGCAGACTGCCTCAAATGTATTTTGTAACAAATGTGAAACCAAAAACACAACTAAATTTTTAAAAAAATACAGAAAGGAGACCATTCTATTATTGGAAACATGACAGGCGGAGCAAAACTACATGCGAAATGCAGTGAAAGCACATCTATAATTGAGACGCACGTAATTTTTTTTTTTGTCTTGTTCGACTTGGGTAAGTGACAAGCAGACGCGCAGAAACTTTCTAAAGTAGTTATTCATGCAGCCGTATTTCCAGTTCGTTTTCTCCTAATTAATATATTCTAAATTTATTTTTTAAACACTGTGTCCTTAAGAAAATTGGGTTTGTGTGTATGTTTATACAGCATGAACTTTGTCTCAACGGGCGACTTGTATCTCAGCTGTAGAGGAGGAATTTAGCCAGTGCATTACAACCGCTAGTCTGGGGTATTTAACGTGCACCACGCAGTGGTGATACACGACTGCACGCCGGTACGATGCTCATCCAGATCGAAATGGGCAGGGGTGGGGATTGAGCCCAGGATCCCTGGGTTCTGCAGCGCGAGCTTTCGCTCCACGTGCTCCGAGCTGGTGTGCGCTAGCCCACTCGACCCTGTGTCTTTAAAGATCTTTACAACTATACTCCGTTTCACCTTATGTTGTACCGCAGCGAAGGCTGGAAGCGCGAGCTCATAGCGTTGACGGCTGCCCTTCCTGCACGAGAGCTTGTGCCGCCGAGATCTGCCCCAGAGCAAGGAGCTTGCGCTTACAGCCTTTCCTGCGGTACAACATAAGGTGAAACAGAGTATAGAGCTTCCTAGTGAGTTGAGTTAGGAACTGAAAATGTTGTCCTTTCTTAATCAAGTCTGATTTGTTCGAGCAGTAAAAAGCCTCACGTTTCGTCGATCATTCGTAAATGACTGACCTATTAGACACTAACGTTTTATGATTGATAAATCAATATATCGTGAAGACCTGAGTTCATAATATAACTAAGCAGAGTATTCTGACTTACTCTAGATTTTGTGTTATGAGACCCAGTAGACCACGTTTTTATATATAATCAAGTAAATTGCCTGAACGATATCAAAATATTCTGGCGGGCTAGGTGGTTATAGACGCTTTGCAGCAGCTGTGCATGGGCACCGCCATAACTGACCTTCATTTTTGTTTCCCCTTATTACGTTTACTTCACTTCATTATTACCATAGCAGGCCAGGTTATTGCCATCATAGATTTTATTCTGTCTTTCTCCACAGCATTGGCTTTTGTGGAAGCTCGTCCACACCAATTTCAGTGGCCCAGTATCTCGGTAAAACAAGAGAAGGTCAGCGATGGCGGCTGTATTCTGGCGCGTGTGTAAAGCGTCTATACATACTAAATTACAAATAGCGCCAAGGCAAGGACATTCCAAGAAGTGGACAGGACAGGCGCTAACTCACAAGTGACGGTTTTATATAGAACGAGAAAGAAGAAGGTGAAGGTGCCTGAACGATGCTGGCGTGAGCGCATATCTAACTCTCTCAGATCATAATATTACTTAACGATTTATTTGCACGACCACTCCCTATACTACTTTGTGTCGCATATCCTATAACACGCTAGATGGAAGCGTCAGAGACGTATACTTTTCTAGCGTTTTATTTGCAATAGAACTCGTGCATTTGAAAGAGCATTACTGTCATGTCTCATTAATATGGACACGTCCGTTCCCGTAAATAATCGTCCATAATGAGAGTTGTGCATAATAACGAGACAAAAATGCCCGTTTTTTCCCATTTTTCCCCGAATGTGGTGTCCATATAGCGGGGTGTCCATATTAACGGGGTCAATAATGCATGGTGACAGCATCTTCCACAGTGATTCATTTCTTCCACGGAGTATATTATGGCATAGATTAATTTAGGGCGCCTTCGTAGTAGCTTAGTGTAGCAAACTGTAGCCAACTGTAACCAACAGACCGATCTCACTAAGCGTTCCGCGCGCGCGTGACGCCGCCATAACTCTATAGTTCACAGGAGGCACGTGCCGGTGCACGAAACAGCTCGTGTCGTCTCGTGCTCTGCTCGGGCAGAGCCACTGCGGGGTTGTCGCGGGTGCAGAAAGACTACAGTTTTCAGGATGCTTGCCGGCAGCGGTGGCGCAACAAAGCTGGCTGGTGTAGAGTGCCTTCATACACACGCGCGCTTTTGCTTGAGTGGTGACATCTCAGCCATTTTTCCGCCCATTTGTATTTTTATGCATTTTGAAGTGCGCGCAATCCGGTGTCACTCAGCTCGAGCGCGTAGCTTTGGCTATTACATAGGCGCCATTTTACCGCCCAAGTTGCGCACCAAGTGCGCGAGAGCGTCACGCGCTGGCAGATTCAGGGCAACAATGGATGTCTTCACCCTGAGACAGACAGACATGTAGGCACCCTAGGCTGGTGAGATATGTCTATTGTAGCTAACGACCGGACGGTCTGTTAACAGAAAATATTTCATGTGGCATGTATGTTGATGTTTGTCGCTCCCCGTGACGTTCGTTCGACGGCCACCACTGGTCAAGCGTGACCAAATTATGGGTTAGGATTCATGAACGACGGAATTAAGATTCGATCTCATTCTCAAACTTTTCTCCGCGTTTGTTTTCGGGAACTGGACGAACAAAGAGCGCGCGAACCAAGTTGCGTCTTTTCACGCCTTACCTGGCGCATTCGTCGTTGGTTCTGAACGGCACTTTTCATTTCAGGGTGTGCTACAACGTCCGCTTTCCTAAAATCTGTCTCAACTGCAAGCTGACTCCTACCAACGAGTCCCAGTGCTACCTGCCAGACATCAACGACGAGACCAGCCCTCTGTTCTTGGCGTTCCGCACCAAAGCCATCGGCCGACTTTGGGCCAACTGTGTTCGCCAGGCGATCGCTTGCTGTCGGTACATGCGCCAGGCGCCCCAAGTATTGAGTGAGTATACTTTTTTTTTTATTTCCTTCCGCAAGAAGCATCCCAATAATCGCACTCTGCTAACACCGCCTCAAATAATCAAAACCGGCGAGCAGACTCCTCTACCTCCACGTAATGTCATAACACGTGAATGGCGCTAACTCACAATTGGCCCTGAGCCCGACGCTTTGATCGGACACGAGGACCTGCCGAACGACGGCGCAGCCCTCGTGTACTACCCTCGACGTGACTGTGATGACGTCGAAATGCTAGTGCATGGGCTTTGATTCTTCTAGGACTCTGCGCGCTGTGAAACGTGCACTGATTGTGCGCGGTAGCTCTTTCCCGCTGGATATCAACCGGTGTGCAGGCGTCCACAGCCAACCCACAGCCCAGTCGGCATTTCTAGCTTTGATGCTAAGTGCTGGAAAGGCGTACATACTTGGGGACAACTTTCAGTGGCAACGGAGCCAAGGCTACTAGCCGAAATGCGTCATGACTATACGCGCACCATGCATAGTTCGCCAATATAATTTTTTTCTTTCATATTTAATAACTTCAGTTTATTTTAAGCAAGAAGTCCCAAAGGCCCGATTAGCAATGACGTTACCACAGTAGCGGTGGGTGTCAAGAAAGCAGCATATCCGGTTTTGAGTTCGATTTTCCCGCCGTTCGTCTCACTCTTTGTTATTCCATTTATACGAGACGGCGCCTGCGGATCTGCATTGCTGAGTACGCCGGTACGTTTTCCACCAAGATTTCTGGATTAGGTTTACCATGGAGTGTATTAAAATGTCTCAGCACTAAATCATATCTGAATAACGCAAGCGCCGTGGGAGATCCACGGACAAGTAAAAATGAATCGATAAGATCTGTCAGTTGCTTCCAGGACGTGCAATGCGAATGATGTCGGCGAAAGCGCACGAATAAGTGAAAAACCTCGGCTTCGTTTCTGAAGGGCCCAAGACAATGCGGTGTTCACCTGGTATCGGGAAAGCGCCGTTAAGCACCGAGTAATCAGGTTACATTGTTTCAAAAGTTTCGCTCATGCGGATACGTGTCAACGCCGTCGGCAATGATCAGTAGAGCAATCACAGCCGTGGTCCTTATATCGTTGTACCACGGTCCAGCCGAGGTACAACAAAATATTCCCACTAACCAACAGTTAGGCTTCGTAGTACTTTCCAAACTGCCTGAATTTTATATTCTTTGATACCTGAAGTTGAAACAAGTTGCTAAGATACTATTTTGTGAGCTATGTGAAGAGTACAATAAAGTAAACAAAAACACGCAATTGTAAGTGATTAACTAGGGTGTCTTTTTTATAGTTGCAAACAGGCTTCGATTTTGGATTGAAGGCATTTTTTTATTTGAATCTTATGAAAAATTGTTTAAACGTCTGATGGCTAGAATTTATTACACTTTATTACGGTATGATATAGTAGCTTACAGGTTTCTATCCTGCCTAGAGTTTCACTCTAAACTTGTTTGCGGGAATCACTGTTCATGACGACCTTCTTTGTTCACCAAATATTTTGATTGCTGAAGCGTAGAACGGCGGTTTGCACCAAGGCGAACAGAATTTAAACTTTTTTTAAAGAACTAACTGCAGAGTAACACATGTGCAGAATTTCCGCACCCCTTTAGCTTTGGCTTCACTACCACAAAAAGTTGCTCCCCTTCTGCCGCCCATAAAGTCATACCCAAACGGTGGACGGGCACTTGCCATGGTTTCTCGTTTAAGTATATATGGCACGACCAATTCGTTGTTTTTCAGCGTTGGGCTGAGGTAATTAAAATTTGTTTTTGTCACGCCTATTTACGACATAACCTCTCTCTCTCTCTCTTCATCTCTTTTGTTTTGTTTTTGAAGAAGAAAAGCAAGTGGAAAAAATAACGAGCGGTTAGTTGGTACGTTTGGTGTGGGCTCTGTTCGGTTGCCAACGTGATGAGCTCACGCCTGGCGAACAGGGATTTTTTCCAAGCATGCTAATCGTCTGTTTGAAGAAGCCTTAAGCCATGGTCTTATACATCATACAAAAGACAGTTTTGCATACAGATTCGAACGCGAGTCACCGCGATATCCGTACTTCGAATGCCGCATGGCAATGAGTTCAAGAAGAAAACTTGCCACGCGGCATTCGAATCACAGATATTGCGGCGACTCGTGTTTACAGACTGTCTTTTCCATGATGTATTGGCAGCGGGACCCTGGCTTTAGGTTATTCGCTTTATTTTCTCCTACGACCTGATATACAGTTCAGCAAATGTGGACATTGACCATACTCTGTTTTTTACGACTTGCAATAGATGATTCTGGATTTTGATGGCAGGAACGCTTGTTCCTCGGCTAAGTCTCACTCAACTCAAAAGCCGGGAACGATTAATATTTCTAATTGGTTTTAAAAAAAAATAAAGCTAGTATAGCTTCTTTTTTTCCCGACAGTTTGGTCGTACCATAGAGTCGGTAGCATTTACAGTGAACAGTTTCACTGTTTATAGAATTACACAACAGATCACAATCACCACTTTAACAAACGGGCAGGCCTTCTTTAAATAACGGGCTATTGTCCGTTTTTCAAAGTCGCCAGTTCCAGTCTGTGCAGTGATTTGTGCACTCTGGGCTGGGCATTCAGAAACAGTCAGCTAGAGTGAGAGCGAAGTCAAAAGTTCATCATACTTAAATTCTGTGTTTTGTTTTTTTCTTTCATACTCAAGATGTGCTCAAAGCCTTTAAAGCCTTTCACTGTAAGTGAATTATTATAAGGTACACACGTGCCCGTATGTTCCATAGTTCTGTCACATGGCCCGTTTGCAGTATTCTTGGTATTTGATGCCATTGAGATTCGGAAAATTTCTGCAAGTCAAGAAGCGTATAAAGAATCAATTCTGCTCGTGATTACCTCCATCAGCCCTGTTACCCTTCTAAGAAACGCCAACATTAAAATGCATGCCGTCAACGGGAAAGCAAACAAGGAGGACCGCGTGCATGGCACCCCTGCTTTGTCCGCGTTCTTGCCACGCCAAAAGTGCATCTATTTAATTGGCATATTTTACTGAACGTGTTTGAACTTCGAACGCTTTGAGTGTTGTCATAAATGTTCCCGTGACGGTGAATGCTCGCAGGGTCACTCTTAAGCCTCTCACTCTCTCTCTTTCACGCACGCACGCGCGCACATACGCACACACGTACGCACGCACGCATTCACAATTCAAGATACCGATTTTCTCTAATAGAGCTCCAGGGGTCATATTAAGGGCCCTTGACAACTTGCTTTCAACCCTCGAACAGCTGGCGTCTTCTGCAACCGCACATGGGACGGACTGGCGTGCTACGACGACACCGCCGCCAGCACCAACGTGTCTAAAGTGTGCCCCAGCCTGTTGTACATTTACTCCCAACCGCACTGCGAACGTAAGTGTGGCTTCCCAGGCATGGACGTATGTACTAGTACATCTTTAGGAGGCGAGTGTGCAGTTCCTCAGGTTCGGGTCTGTCTCGTCGGTGCAGATTACTCGACGCGTTGGTGCCACAAGAACGGAACGTGGTACAAGCAGCTCAATCAAGAGCGCACTTTTTACAGCAGCTGCGCTCCGAAACCTTGGGTAAGTTGATCCACTTGCCGATTAATCTCGCATATTATTTTTTTTTTGTTGTTCTTAAATCTCGCCAAGCCTGATTTACCTTTCATGTATGGTCTTGGCCTACTCAGGAAATTTCGGGTTTCATCATTGGCGGTAAAAAGTCTGGAATTGCTGTCGTTTTTGTTCTTCCATTTCAAACTGCGCTTTGTTTTGCTGCTCGATTTCCGTGCCTTTTCCATCGCGAAAATTTTACAGTAGCAGCAATTTTATTTTATCGTTGTCTCGAGTTCTCCCATGTGCGTGAATATATTTATGTGTTTTACTGAAAGACCTCCCATGTCATCCATTCGTACAGCGATAAAATGTGTCGACAATAAAAAAGGTAAAAAAAACGCATTATTCACTAATCTGCAGAAATTTTACCAAACTCAGTATCACGCACTTCACGTATTTATCGATGGCTTATATTGCTGCAATGTCCGAAGCCTCGTTAATTTAGTCACTTCCCATCTCGCCACAAGTGGGAGTAGAGCAAATATTGCATATGAGTGGACGACTGTGGCGTGGGAAAAAGACGATGCCACCATCGTTTTATTTATTATTTATTTCAACTGCCCTCAGGGCCACGAGCAATGCCACGTGGGAATTGCAAAGGGAAGGGGGTGACAGGTATATACAAACAAAAACAAAAACAAATTTTGAGAATGCAAATAATTACCTAAGAAACAAGTAAAATAGTGATATTGTTAAGGCAGTTTTAAACGTGGCGCCATCAAACAAAGTTACCACCGATGCTGGAAGGAGGTTCCATGGAAGTGTGGTTCGAGGTACGAATGAACTGTGAAAAGTGGTAGTTTGACACGATGGTATACGTCTATCTTGTATTGGCGATCGGGACGCGATGATAGGTAGGAGGGAGGTATTAGTAGCTTTATACGTCATGGAGGATTATGATAGATTTTGTAAAACAGACACAAACGAGAAAGTTATCTACGTGATACAAGGTTAGGTAGGTGCAAACTAGATTTTATGGATGCCACGCTAGCGGTGCGATGATAGTTAATACGTATGAAGCGAACATATCCTTTCTGAATTTTTCATATACACATTTAATATGTCAGTACCGGGGTCCCCAATTGAAGAGGCGTATACTAAGTTAGAGTGAACCAGGGTTTTATAGAGAAGTAGTTTTAGAGATAAAAAGGCGGACGGAAATTTTTGTTTAATCCTAACATACGATTGACATTACTTGTTACGTATTGAATATGCATTTCGCACGACAAGTTAGATGAAATATGAACGTCCAAGTATTTGTAGGATGAGACTTGCTGTGAAGAAGCGTAGTTTAGGTAGTAACGTGAAACATCATTATGAGCTCGAGAAACCCTCATTACTTTACATTTGTTAGTGTAAAGCTCTATATTTTTATAAGCCACACGATTCAAGCACGCGGTCAAGATCAGATAAGGAAACGGCACTTTACCCGAATGTCGTCTTGTTCTGTCTTCTCCTTCTACTAATCCCTTTGCGCCGTGTGTATTTTATTATGTGTAACGAACTAACCGGCCAGCTGATTTCGACTAAATGGCTGCTTTTGGAACAGGATTACGTCAGTGTCTACCACTACTCCATCGGCCTGCTTGCTCTGTCGGTGCTCTCGCTGATCCCGGCTCTCGTTGTGTTCAACTGGTACAAGTGAGTGGCGCTAAGATCCATATAGCTGTCGAGCGCGCGCCTGGCTACAAAATATCGAGCTGTGGAGTTGCCAACAAAAAACGAAGCTCTATTGTGGCAATATCCGGGTGTCCGTTATCGCGCGACCATATCCTTAGAAGAGCTGCTTCGTAGTAGGTTTTAATGTGATTCCTTTGGTAGCCGGCTTCAGTGAAAGCCAACATTAAAGATTAATTGTATTAACATGCTCAGCTAAACATTTATATCTTTACAGTTTAAGGAGTATCAAAAGCGAAGTCATTTAAACAGTAATTATTCTACAGCAAGGGCTACGAGCGTAACAACTTATTAAAGAAAACGTTTCACATACCCGAAGCACCTACTATAGGGAGTATTCACTGGACGCCATATTTGTGGGTGCTGTTTAGAGCGCTTGCTCAGAACGAGCTCACATCAATAGGCTGCTAAGGCCGGCACTCTTGATGGTGCGGAATGCACGTTGCAAAAGAACTGTGGAAGCTCGCCATCAGCACGCGCTCAGCATTCGCGCACACAGCTATGGCCGCCAGTGAATACTCCCTATAGACGATTGTAAGCATGGCACAGCGACTGGTGCCCCATGAGTGCAAGCACGTGCAGCTTGCGCGTGAACATAGCTTTGGCAAGCTTGACATTAGACGGGCTTGTCCGCACGAGAAGAGACATGGCGGCGGACAGTGGCCTTGTTTGCCATCGTCTATACGTGGGGACAATTTTTCTCGACAACGAAGCCAAAGCTACGGGTACTCGTGCGCTCGCGCACATTGAGCGCCGATCACAGCTGTGCTCGCGCGCTCTTCACTACTTCGAAAATGACAGAAAAAGTTGTCCCCGAGTATAATAATCAAGTATTGGTAAATCGATCAAAAAGAATAGTAGTCCATGTATTTAACTTCTGCTAGTAGGCGTTGTCAATTGGTGATTTTTTTTTTTTTTTTTTTGTAATCCACAGTCTATTCTGCATCCGTTCAAACTTCAGGATGTTTGAAAGTAAAGTATGTTTTTGAACAAGTGCCTTTCTTTTTTTTTTTTTTTTTTTGTCCTGAACAACGTTTCGTTTCGATGCCGCTCTGTGTCATTTGCTCAACTTGCTGCATATGTCACGCCAAGTGTATACCGGCGTTTTTTTCTTTTTTTCTTAAAGCGTTAATTTGACCCGGGTATTCCGAATGTGCTATAAACAGAGTCCGTATAAATGCGATCGAAGATGGCGATATTTGATCATGCTTTTCATTACCGAAACGTGAAATACCGTTGAGAATGGTAATCCATCTCGAGCATCGGCTCTCGGCTCACCGGTTCCCTCGGCGCCTGGAATGAGAAAAACTGTACGTAGATTTGATCTCGTTTTTCACGTAAAAACGGAGCGCGGTGAATTTTTTTTTTTTTTGTATCATTGGTTAGAAGCACGTAGATCAAGCTAGCACCCTAAAATTACTGTCAGACATCTCTTTACTGGACGTTTAATAGAACGCATATGTGTAAGACCAAGCGTCATTCGCGTCTTCGGTTCAAAGGTGAAAGGGGCACGTGACTCAACTGTGCATCACACCATGTACTCCGTTCTCCCCCAAGCTGAGACTGCAGTGGGAGCTACGTGGCCGCCGTACCAATCAGCCGCCCTCCCTCTCATCACCTGACCCGGCTCTCTGAGCGCGAGTATGGGCGGGATCGTGATGACGTGGCCAAAGAGAGGCGCAATGGCTGGTCCGACGAGGACGTAAAGTTGTTGTCGCTGTATGCGATGGGAACAGAAATAGAGGCAATTATGGTGTAAGCTCATAGACCCGGCTGTTTTCACCGCAGTCTCAGCTCTATAGGGGCGAACGGAGTGTTGTCGGTAACACGTTAAGAACCCAGTACAATGCTCCGCCTTCATGGTACGCACTCGTCGCCTCCTGCAGCAGGGCTTTGACTGCGCGTGCGACGCAGTGTTTGTTACCCAAGGCATCGAGCGCGTGCTGGAGGCGGTGCACGTATACGGTAGGTTCTTAACTGTTACGACTACAAGTCCGAGCGCAGCCGGCGCTATACGATGGAGCCGATCGAGCAGTGCCAAAAGCGCATCGTCACCGCGCTCGTCGTCTTTCTGCGTTAGCTAAATCCCCGCCTCAACCGATCACGCGCCGTGAATGTGCAGCAGCGCTATAGCAAGCACACAAAACCCGCGCCAAAGAAAGCAGCGAAGTGTCTCGTCGCGTAGGCAGTGCTGGCGGTAACGCGTTATAAGTAACGGCGTTACCGGTAACGAGTTTCTCTTTTTTCAATAATGCAGTAACGTACTCCACATTTTCTCAAATCAGTAAAAGGTAACGTAGTTATGGTACACTTCTTCCCAAGACCTGGCAAATCATTCGTGTTTCTATCCTTTCTTTTACCTTAAGTCTAGACGCAGCCGACGCTGTGTACCAGCTGATGAGACGAATCAGAGAGCGTCAAAAGCGCATCCTCGTGGTGTTCGTCCTGTTCCTGCACGTGTTCTATCGTCACTCAACCAATCGTAAACAGAAAAGGCCCAGTGACTTGCGCTTTTGACAAGGCTTGAAGCGTCCCATTAGCTCGTAGCGTCGGCTGAGTCTGGACTTAAGCTGAAGGGAAGTATAATGTGCCATTTGTCTGGGTGAGCCATGCACCACCGCACCGTCTTTTTTTTTTAAATATATTTTTGAGGCGCCAAGTTATTAATTACTGAACTCATTCCACATGTTTTCAAAATCTTGCCTGTCCTTTCTCCGTGCAAAAAAATTCCACCAAAAAAACGCCGTCGTTTTTTGCTTTAGGCCTCCTGCGCTGAAGCTTTGAACAAACTGTGGCGCCCTCATTTTGGGTAGTACAAGCTCACCTGGTAGGACCTCGCACTACTCGTGTCGCGTTGGCTGAGCTTTTTTTTTTTTTTTTTTTTTTCTGTGTAGTGGTGAAGAACGTAGAAAACACCTTTCGACGTCCGAAATCGGTTAGATTCAACGCCCGCGAGACAATCGAAAGTTCCAGATTCATGCCACCACCACTAGGGCACGCGTCTCTTATCTCTGGGTGGTGTCGTCAGAACATATGGCGTCCCGCCGTTTTTTCTCACTTTTTTTGGTATGCGTGATACGGCGTTTTTTTGGTTTTGCTTCGACGGCGTTAGATTTTTTTCTTTGCATTTGTTTTTTTCGTTATCGCGTTCTCCACCAGAACAGGCAAGCTTCTACATATGTGACATTTTGAGACGCTCGAGTTTGTACTACCCAAAGCCAGTCCTAACAAGTTCCTTTTCGCCGCGCCTCCTGGGCAACGCAGGAGGCCTTTAGTGTACAAAAACGCAGATGCAAAATAAAAAAAAAAAACGCTGTAACTGTCAATTTATAAATAAAAAGTAACGTGCGTTAGTTTTTATCAGTAACGGTGACGGTAACGCGTTCCTTTTATTTTCAGGTAACGTAGGTCGGTAACACGTTCTTTCATTTTGCAAGTAACGAGTAACGTGTTTCGTTGCTTTTTTTTTTAGGTAGCGCCTACAACACAGCCAGTAGGGCAGGCCAGTCTATCTGATCGACTGGCTCGCGGTCAGACATTTCCTCGAGTGCTCCTCCTCTCTAACTTACCTTGGCCAGGAAAACCGAAGTCAAGTGTCGTACGTGAAGAAATCGGTTTTTAATGGACAGGCGCAAACACCGCTATACCGGTCTTTCAAGATAAGCGCCGCTTCGGAGACGGCGTGGACGAGGCAGCGCGCTTCGTCGAAATTTCCGCGCGAAGAAGCCGCCGAACTATCATCGCCGGTTGTTTATCTCGTACCGGTGATAAGGAGCGAGTCTTTAACAGGAACTCGTCTGTTGTTGTTTTCTTTTCTCTCTCTTTTTTTTTGCAATTGCACATGGCTTGCGTTGTGTGTTTTGGACTCACGGAGTGTCCCGGCAGGCCGACTCTGAGATTGCCGATTATGGAGAAAACTGCGGTCGATGCTTCTTGTTTTTATATGTTCGTCTTGTCGGATGACAGGAAACGTTAATGGTGCGATATGAAGAATACACACGCCGTCACTAAGACGTCATTGTTTGATATGAGGGGCGTTCATTTGCCCTTGATATTGACAAGCGATAGGTCAGAACAACGCTTTCCAAACACTCCAAACGGCGTGACTTCATGCGCCGTTTTCTTCCGAGAGTTAAAAAAAAGACAGGTTGCGTGCTTATGTCTTGTGGAAGAATGCGTATCAGGATTCGCCGAGTAGACCTATAGGTAAATTACCCAAGCATCAAAGAGAATGCAGGGATTGGAGTTCCACGCGCCGCAGGTGCTGGCCTCAGCAGTAGCATAGCCTGACAAAGCCTCGCAGATAGCCACGAGACGCGGCCGCCGAAATTAAAAAGGTAGAGCGACAGACAACGGATGAGAGGAAAGCCACGTGACGGGCGCCCCGCTGCGACGAGACGCCGGAACACACTTCTCCCGAGCGATGGAATGTCCGCTCGTGCTTCTCGCGTTCCTCGGGCTTCTTTTCTCGTCGGGTTTGAAAACCATGTTTCGGGTCCTCGCCGCTGCAAAGTTGTGCGCTGACGACCAGGTTCCCCGAAAAATGCTCTGTGCTACCAGATCCTCGCGCTTCAAATCTGCGACCAGGCACTCTATGGCTCCTTCGTCGAACTGCCAGGCTTTATGAATATAGAGGAGGCTATGGCAGTAGTAACTTTTCTAAAGGAAATGCCTAAAACAAATTGCACCTTGCACGCGCGTTCGTCAACGCTTTATTTTGGTTATTTACTTCGAATCTTCTATACAGGGAAGGCGTGCGCGTGTGGCGCGTGGAACACCAATCCCTGTATTCTCCTTGACGCTTGGGTTATTTAGCAATAGGTCTATTGCTCTCCCGAGGAGACAAGTAAAAAGAAACTGAGCAGAAATCCAGCTTGTTGATATTAGGGAGCTTTCCTTAGATCGCAACTCTCTCCGCAACCCACTAAGAAATCAGGAACTCTGCACACAAGGCTGGCGACGCTCATTTGCAGTAGCGTTGTCTTCGTTGCAAACAACATAGCGGAGATGAAAAAAAAAAAAAACGGTTTATGAACTTCCGGTATCTATTTTCCTGGCCTTCCCTTTGCATGAAGTGACCTATAGGAAGTATTCACTGGCGGCCATATCTGTGTGCGCGACTGTTGAGCGCGTGCTGATGGTGAGCTTCCGCAGTTCTTTTGCAACGTGCGTTCCACACCATTATGATTGCCGGCCTTAGCAGCCTATTAATGTGGGCTCGTTCTGAGCATGCGCTCTAGACAGCACCCACAAATGTGGCGCCCAGTGAATACTCCTTATTGTCCAGTTCTACACATAGCGGGACGTGTCGCCTAGTGTCGGTAAAATTGCTCACAAGCTCGCAATTCTGAGAACGTTTTACGTTCACAGCATTGACCAGGAGGATAAAATAAAAGTTTTTACCGTTGGACCAACCAGTAGTTTGTGCGGAAGTCAAGGCGCGCCACCTTCAATTATTGCTTTTGTGACATAGACGCGGCGCGTTGCCTGTGTCCTGATGATGTTCCATGCATATTTTCAAAGATGTATACTCATTAAAAGCAAGGTGCGTTACCCTGGTCACATACTAGAACGGGTTGGCGCTGCGCATCGTAGCACGTAACCGGCTGACGCTAACCGAAAGCGGGGCACAACAGCAAGCACCCTGAAAACTTGTCGCGTCCCCTGTTCTTAAAAATTATTCCGGAATCGCGGAAGGTCTCTGCAGGTTCCCCGCATCTCGATCCACAAGCATCTCTGCTTCTCCGTCATGATGTGCGGCACGTTCTACATCATCGACCATGCGGTCTTCACGCTGGACGATGCCAAGCCCACCAGGTTTACGAAGAACCTGACCAACCTCAACGTGGTGCGTAAACATCCGAACGTTCACTTCTGTGAACTTTCAGAAGCCACTGGTGGCTTCTGAAAAGTTCCTATCGGGGGTGGTGAAAGGAGGGACTCATTTTAGGTTTAAGCGTCCAGTTTTAACCTGATTTATTGGCCTCCATCGCTCGAACACATTTTTTTTTTTTTAATTTCTTATAAAGGGACGAGAATTAAACAAGTGCTGCCTTCACCACATCAGGTTCGGCGGACATTAGATGAGGGGATAATCGTCATGGTAAGTTGACACATTAACTGAAATCTGTTAATTAACTTTTTAATTATTGGTTTCAGAGGTCATGTTGCAATGAGAGTAATGAAGGCAATTAGTGTTGGAGACCACACCAGTTGAACGAATTTGTAGAAGATAATGATTTTGTCAGATATTACTCGATTAATTTTCATATTTTTCTCACCTCATTTAAAATTGCGCGCAAAAAAAAGCGCCGCCAAGCTCTGCCCGCAATCCACTCACGTATTCACTTCTGTCGTCTGCGCACCCACCAAGGATACGCTGCCGCGATAACGACGACATAACTGAAACGACTACGTTACTCTTCCAAGTGTCATTGTAAGCAAGGCTTGTGACACTTTTTTTTTTTTGCGCAATTTTTAAATTGGAGAAGGAAACGTGAAAATTGATAAAGTAATATATATATATATATATATATATATATATATATATATATATATATATATATATATATATATATATATATATATATATATATATATATAAAAAACATTGCATTTTCGCAGTTCTTGAAGTTGCCTGGTCTCTCATAGTAAGTGCTTTCATACTGCAATTGCAACGTCACCCGTAAAACAAGTAATTAAAAGTTAATGAACGGAATTGAGTAAATTAGCCAACTTACCATGACGATTAATTCCTCAACTAATATCCGCCGAGACTGATAAATAAATGGTGAAGAACACTCACCCCCTTTTAAAAAAGTCTGTTAGAATTAAAAATGAGCGAGAACTCTTGTACAAACTCATCTCCTTGTTCTTAGTGATAGAAGTAGCAGATACAAATGTTGAAGAAAGTGAAAGCGCACTCGCGTAGTTACATAATCAACGATTCTAAAATAATATATTCTTAGAGAATCCTTCCTTTCTAGATAATATTTCCTGTATATCGCAGCGCCGGGCGTACGGTCGAAACGCAAGTAACTTTAGGGATTACTGGGTCGTTTCAAAGCATTGCTATAATTGCAGTAGCAGTGGAAGAAGTTGCAAACCGTACTTGAAGTTATTTTATACATAGTCGTCCGAACACACATAAAATGTGCATACGATACTCCCTTCATGAACATGTCAGCGACGTTGTGACTGTGCATGTCTTCCCTGCAGTGGTGGTGCAAGTTGCTGACCGCATTGAACCGGTACTTCATGGTGAGCCAGTACAGCTGGATGCTCTGCGAGGGTTGCTACCTGCACAGGCTGGTCGCCCAGGCATTTTCACAACAGATGAATCTCAAGGTCTACTACGGCGTCGGCTGGGGTGCGTTAATCGTCCCGTGATGAAAAACAAAAACAAAAAATAGTGGACATTCATATTAAAAATAGCACAAAAGAGACGGGACAAAAATACAGAAGCACACAGGACAAACGCTATTTTTAATATGAATGTCCACTACCAACTTGCCCAGCAGACCAAGCTTTTAAAAAATAGTGGTTTGCAGAAATCGAGCATCGTCGACAAGCAGCTCGAACCATTAGTACCTCCTTAGGATTGATGTCAAGGCATAGGCTGCGCGCCAGCAGCGCCAACCTGGGTGCATCGTCTGCTAATGCTGGCATTGGGCTTTGTTGCAAAAAGATACATTGGGAGAAGGTTGAGGTTGGCTATACGGTAGACGATGGCATTTCCTCTCTAAAGCGCGCTTGCGATGTGGCAGAGTATAAGAACGAACTTTCGTTCTTTCTAGGAGCACCCGTTGTTCTTGTCATTATCTACAGCGTGCTTCGAGCTACGAAGTCCGATGTCAGGTGAGAGCCAAAGGACTAACTTCGTTCACAAGGTCTCGGAGATAAGCTTAATGCGCCGTTCTTCGCAGGTGCTGGAGGAACTTGACAGTCTACGACTATGTGTTCACGGGCCCGATTCTGGCAGCCCTCGCTGTAAGTGGCATCGCGCTTCTGGGCTCGTTTTCCCCTCTATTTCGCGATGAAGCCATTCTTTGTCACCTTGAGTGACGCCAGCATGTGACCAAGTCAAAATATAAATGGGTGCTGGCAGGGAAGCTCTATACTCATCTATTATTCACAACTTTTAGTGAACGCCGTATCGCGGTTCAGCGATCGTGTTTTCTACTTAGGGGATGAGAGCTTAAGGCCGCAATGTTTCGCTTACGACTCTTTTTCGCCGTTTTAGGTACGTACAGCCGACAGAGCTGACACAATGAAGATTAGGCGTCAAAAGTACAACCTGGTACACATTTTCTAACTTGATGCCCACCATTTTGATAGGTGCCACTACGCTTTTTAAACTTGCAAAGTTTCGAATACTTACTCAGTTTTGTAGCTAGTATAAAACGTCCTAAATGCTGCCGATAGAATATATTGAGTCTTGGCGCAGCCAGGGGTGTGGCTTATAGAGCTTCAGACCCCCCCCCCCCCCCTCACACACACACACACACACACACACCAAAATCCAGTCGACCCTACAATATACACGCGCATTTTGACCCCCCCCCCCCCCCCCCCCCCCCCCGCACCCCAATTCATAAGTATCAGGGCCACCACAGCCCCCCCCCCCCCCCCCCTCGAAAAAAATGCCTGGCTACGCCACTGCCTCACACAGATCGTGCTTGCGCCAGCAACTTTGACCCTATTTTACATCATCTACGAAAGATAGTAGAGAACCTCTTATCAACTAAGAACCCAACGTGCGATGACAAACATTCGAGCAGCGTGATCTGGCCACCTTGGTAAAAAAGGCAAAGGAGGGAACCAGCCCACAAACGAAACAATACCTATGATGATAGCTGCTAGTGGCCGTTTTGTGCAACAGCACATAAAAGAAAGCCAAGATCTCTCGCCGAGGGACACCAGAGCGCATAATATTCAGACAAAATTGAGAAGAAAAATCACAACCCTCGCATCATCACCATACAACGTGGGCCAAGAGTCTCGTTCAAATTGTCTTTCGTGGCTATGGGTGACAAAAAACAAGTCAGTCTCCTGTTGAAAATTATTCGTGTCAGTAAAGAATGAAGACATGATAAGTCGTAAGACACCATTAGCTTTACGAGCTAATGGTTGCATTAGTTGCAGATGGTAAAACCTGAGCGAGTGGGAAAATAAAAAAGAAGTAAAAATAACTTCCACTCTTAGATATAAGCTTTCAACGTGAACAGGTTTTACCACTTCGAACGATGAAACTCTTAATTGATGTTTGTTTGTATAAATATAAACTACGATTAAAAAAGAAAGACGCAAGACTTAATGGTAGTGACGTATTAGTAAATTAACGTAAATGTTTTTGTTTTCTTGAATGCAAGGTGAATATCTTCTTCATGACTCACGTCGTCTACATTCTGGTGACCAAGCTTCGTCAAAGCAACGTCAGCGATACCGCGAACTTCAGGTGAGCTGGAAAGCAAAACTGAGTTCATCCTTCAACTATCATTCGTTGACTCCGATTTAGATAGCCTGCTATTAGACTCCCCATAGAACTGTCCATCCAATGGTCAGTCAATAAACATTTGTGGCACCTTTGTAGGCTTAGAACCACAGCCATCTTGTCGCAAAGCGGGTAGACATATTATTTAGAAATTACTACAGTAATTAAAAGGACTACAACATTCTAGAGCTTCTAGATAATTTTCTAGAGTGTCAGGTTTCTCACCACTTACCCAAACATTATTTTGGTAGCGTGGGGAAATTTAATTTTGTATCTATATATTTCAATATTATCCAGGCTCGTTGATGGTATACTAATAACAATTCAGTGCACATGTTTGCTTCGCGAGCGAATGGTTTATTACGAGATAGAAACAAAGTAAGTCAGCATATTTAGTTACTCAAGTCATCACATTGCATTTGTGGGTAGTGCAGGTTACGACAGATGGATTCATGTCACTGTACGACTATCCCTGGCGAATTTGTGCGGTATTCCGAATTGCTGAGCCAAACTGCACGAACAAGCAACTCGGTTTTTTTTCTTTCTTTTTTTTTTCTTTTTTCCAGTCGCTGAAGGTTGTGACCCTACTCCGTTCACCCTTAAAGGGTTCATGAAACGATATTGGGTTGGAATATTCATGACTTTGCAGAGGCATACTGGTCCTAGTCTGACCCAAGTATACTCGCACAGACCGCCACTGATTCAGAAGCTTCTTTGTCGCAATGAAATTGCGAGGATAAAAGGGGACTATTTCTTTCAGTCTTGCCGTCGCAAAGCTTGATGACGCAATTGTAGGGAAAATTGGTTGTGGGTATGTTTATACAGCCTTTGAAGTTTGTCTGTCTTCCACAAGCGACTTGTGTCTCAGCTGTAGACAGGGATGGGCAGTATTTTAAATACAAGTATTTGAAATACGTATTTCAAATACTTTGTGTATTTAGCATTTGTATTTAATTACAAATTGGGTAATGTATTTGACGTGTGTATTTAAATACTAAAACGTGGGTATTTCAAATACAATTGTAATTAAATACAGTTTTGTGGGCGAAAATAATCCCTCAAATTTAATGTCACGACAATTCTTGTTTTTATGCATGTGATAGTAAGATATAGTCTCCATCCTTTATTCGGCCATGGGGCTTTTTTCTTTCTCTCCTCCGGCTTTATTTTAAAGGCACTGTCCAGAGCAGGAAGAAAACTACGTTCTGCACCGAATGCAGTGTCTCTCAATCAAGTACAAGCGTTTAGTCACTTTGTGATTACGGTGCTAGTCCAGGGCAAGAATAGTGACGAAATCGACGTTCGCAGGCAGACTGGCTAAATAAGTGCCTGCAACAACTTGTGATGCTTTCCAGCGTGATTTCCATCCATATTTTTGCCTGGAACATTCTAAATGCGCGGGTCGTCCAGATTTTCGTAACTGGTACGAGTTGCAACAATAAAAAATTCTCTAGCTAGTGCTGCGCGTCTTGGTCGTCTCGGTTCTTTGTTGGTCTATACCAAAATGTAATCGACAAAAAAGCTGCTTGAAGCTCTGTACTTTTTTCAACTATTACGTCCAAGCTGATTACATTTTTTTTTTTGTGATTATATTTCTACTACGTTACTAGTGGAGGAGACCAAATACATTTGGTTGTATTTGTATCTTGTACTTAAATACTTTTTTGGAAATGTAATTAGATTTGTAATTAAATACATTTTTGACGAAGTATTTTGTATTTGTATTTCGATACATATTTGGATGTATTTTGCCCATCCCTGGCTGTGGATGAGCAATTTAGCCAGTGCAGTATAACCGCTAGCCTGGGGTCCTTGTATGCTCATCCAGATCGAAACGGGCAGTGGTAGGGATTGAGCCCAGGATCCTGGGTTCTGCAGCGCGAGCTTTCTCTCCACGTGCTCCAAGCTGGTGTGCGCTAAACCACTCGGCCACTGATCCCCCTTTAATTTAGGATCGAAACCACCCGTCTGACGACTGTCGAGCATGGCTCATGGCTTGGACACAAGAACTGCGTGAGCACTCGACTTCGGCTCGTAACAGTCAATGTCTCAGCGGACACTGGGGTAGTGGTTCGTATCCAACCATTGGGGTGATGAGAATGGCCGCGAACTTTAACAATGCCTGAAGCTCAGCACACGTTTTCTACTTTGCCGATCCCAGCGCCCCAGCGCCCCAGCGCCCCAGCGCTGATTGACTATGATTGACGGTGGCGGCATAGGAGTGGCACCAGGCCACGTAGCCGCTTGTTCTGGCTCCGAATTGAGAGGATGAACGATGCTCATATTTCTCAAATTCATTTGCCGACTGACATTGCTTAGAAAGAAAAACTAAGGCAAGTTTATTCGGTTTGTAACGGTAGGGAGTGATTCTAAGTAGCATTCAGGGAAAGTAGAAAAATAGTTTGATGACCCCTTTGAGCTGAGACAGCAGCCATTGCCACATGAACGAGAGCTCTAGGTCGCTGCTTTGAAGCGTTCTTCCGCAGAACGAGCACTCGCGCTGGAAATGCACGTCTCAAAGACAGGCTCGGACTTAGAGCTTTTGAATAAAGTTTTCATCCTCCTCCTTATGTCATTTGGAATGGAGGCAACATCTCCTCGTAGTTTTCGTCTTGCCACAATTGCTTGTCGTTCCCGAGCCCGTAGGCCTTCTCAGGCCCGAAGAGGCTGTGGCTCGGTGCTCGCAGGTAACAGGCATATTAAGACGGCAAGTTGGGCTTATCGGTTGTACATTCTTGAAGCTATACTCCTAAAGACAGGGACAAATTATCTCTCCTATTGGAATCTATCTTCTGTCCATGTCTTTAGGCGTTTTACTTAAAGAATAACAGATATACCCTTGTTTGTTTTTTCTCGTGAGGCATTGCAGGAAAGTACTTCGCGCGGTGCTCATCCTCATTCCCATCTTCGGATGCCATTTTATTCTGACCACCTTCGTGAGTCCGGCGTCATGCAGCGCCTACCTGAGCAAGCAGTACGCCGAGTGGACCATCGTGGGGCTCCAGGTGAATAGCCTCGGTTCACAACTAGCTGCGGTCCTGCGGACGTGATTCGTGGAACTCCGTCCAAACTGTTTTCCTTGTTGCAGGGCTTATTCGTGTCCCTCATCTTCTGCTATTTTAACGGAGAGGTAAGTCAAGACTTCGAATCATTCACTTTTAGCACGGAGCGCTCTTCAAAGAAGTGGCATTTTTGTTGGTGGACCTAAAGAGCGTCGTTTCTTACAAGGACAATCATGTCTGCGCGAACGCCCGATACAGGCGTCACGAGCAGGTTATTAAAAAACAACAACAACCAAATATTGCGTCTTGGTCTGGTCCCACTCTTTCGAAGACTGCACGGGGCATGCAGTTCGTGGATATGTGTGCTTGTCACGACTCGTGAAATGAAGTGACGAATGCGAGTGCGTAACTTCGTTCGGTGCTCGAGGTGCGCGAGCCCACGTGCGTCATGCGTCAGAAAGTTGCCCCGAGTAGTATACGTGTGCGTTAACCCCCATTGTGAGTTCTCGTAGTTTCCCCTTCATCTGGAATTATAGTAAGCCCACCTGACGTGGAGTTATATAGACGCTTTAAGCACACGCCAGTTTGAGCCGCCATAGCCACTGATCTTCACTAGAGGGGGCTGGATGGCGCATTGAGCAAACAGGTATGAAGCCACCGGAAGTAAGCGGCTTGTCCCGGAAGTGTGCGCTTGGCAGGCTTTGTAACCCTTCCCAGTGCTTGTTTGAAAAGCGTCGAGGGCGCTGGAAGAGCCTGCTTGTTGCGCAGTAGGAGCGCATGCAGACCCGAGAAGTATCACGGGAAGTCGTTCAATGTTAACATTTTGAGATTCTATAGTTGATCAAGTGTGAATATGTCCCAAGTTCAAATGCCTCATTCTCGGGATTTAATCCAGAACGGGAGTATTAAAACCCAGTCAAACACACAAAAAAGCATGGTCCAAAAATCGACTGAATGCACTAGGAAGCCCAGCGCACGCCCGACTTCCGGGACAAGCGTTGAACTTCCGGTGGCTTCACATGCGCCAGGTTCGGAGAGCAGCTAAGCGCCATCCAGCCCCCTATAGTAGAGATCAGTGGCCATAGCCGACCTTCTCTTGTTTTACCGAGATGCCGAGCCACTGAAGCGGGCGTTGACGAGTTTCCACAAAAGCCTATGCTGGGGAGAAGGACGCAGTGGCACCTAAAATGGCAATAACCTGTCGTGCTGTGGCAGAGATGAAGTGAAGCGAACGGAATAAGAGGGAACAAAAACTGAAGGTCGGTTATGGCGGCGCCCATGCACAGCTGCCTGAAAGCGTCTATATACTTTCTTTCCACTGTTCACTGTTTACCGCACGCACCAGTACTCGAGATAAAGGATGGAGAAACCCGCGCAAGTCGATCAGCTGATTGCTTCAACGCGGAGCGAGTGGGCCGATACAGCAACTTTGTAGTTTGAGATAGCGGTCAGACAGTTTCATCGGCTTGAGAGACCAAGATACGAATGCCGCAAGCCAAAAGAGGCGTACGAGGTGGGCTCACTCTCAGCAATATTGACACAATAAACCACGTAGGCAAGCCAATAATTAGGAACTTCTCCAACGCTCGCAACACGCGACCATGAAAACAGCGTTCTAGCGTTCTGTGATGCACGAGCCACGGTCCAATACAAGCGTCTGTCAACATCTGTCGATGTGCGGTAAAAATCGACCGAGAGGAATTAAAAACAATCAACAAAATTAATATGCAGTCGTTCCAGCTATTCTGTTTTTCTTTCTTTCGCATGGCATCCGCGAGCAAGGTGGGTGAGCGTCATGACGCACAAATAAAACGCGACCTAAAATATTCGCTTTGACTGACCAGGTGCACTGTAAAACTTGAGAGCTACTTTTCTTTCGAAGCGAACTGGTGGGAACAAACCTGGACAAACTTGATGCGAGCCGAATTCCCTATTGCTTCCAGCCATGTGGCTCGCAAATTCTCATCCATGTAGGCATCTTCTCGGTATTGAAACCATGGTTGCAATCATGACGGCTGCACAATTCACAAAGCAAAAGGGCCGCTTTTACGGGCACCAACATCTTTATTCAGCATCAACACGCGCAAACAAACAAATCAAGCCAGATCAAGCAACATAGTTGACGTGGGACGATAGGCTTAGGTGAGTCCCGCTACGAAAACAAGCACCCGCACAGCGCTTCGGAAGGCGCGTACTTGCGACAGCTGTTTGTTGCAAGCAAGGTCGGTTAAGGAGATATTCCTCTAAATACCTCGGTAAACGCAAAAAACTCGAACTTAAAACGAAAAAAAGAAAGACGAGCTCGACGAGCTGCGCTTGTTGAGCACACCGCCGACGCCGGCAGCCATGTTCGTTATCGTTTCACACCAATGTGGAAAAGGCAATCTTGGGATACTTTTGAAAACAAATGTAACTCTGTCGAAAATATTTGTTTCTCAAACATTAAAAAAGATTGTAAATTAAAATACTCGAAGGCGAGCAAGCGTTCTAAAATGCGTCTTTGACGCATCGGAGCGCAAAGAGAGCGGCACGCCAATCAAAAGACAACTTAGAGCACGCGTAGATAACGCACGATGACGAGGCAGCCAAGCTCGCGCCCACGTGCGTTTGCACGTGGGCGCGTTCGGGGGTGCAAACAAATGCACAAGGTGCGCAAGAAGCTGACGAACCTGCACGCCGCATTACGGCACGGAGATACAATTTTACAACCAACACTTCACACGTTAATCATTTCCAACCAAACAGAGCGCCGAGAAAAAGGTGCGTGGTTATCTAAGCACCGGGCGGCGCCGAGAGCAGGACTACCCCCATCTAAATTGCGTCTAACGGCATAAATATTAATAATCTTTCTTTTTTCTTTCATGGAAAAAATTGCAATAAAATTATCTGTCCCATCTGGGCTATGATGAAAATGCAGTTAATGCAAAGGTGCAAGCGAGCTGGACAAGAATGATGATAATAATCCCTGGGGAAGGGGCGCAAGGAGGACAAACGACAAACACGAATCTCCAAAGAGAACTAGGCGACCGGTGCGCGAACGAAAAAATCCGCCTGGTCCTGGTATGGGAACGCGACAGAACAGCACACGACAAAATAGCACGCGACAAAACAGCACGGTCAAAACAGCACGCGTCAAAACAGCACGGCGTCAAAACAGCACGGCGACAAAACAGCACGCGTCAAAATAGCACGCGACAAAACAGCACAGCGTCAAAACGGCACAGCGACAGAAGAGCACGTGCCGAAACAGCACGGCGTCAAAACAGCACAACGACAAAACAGCACGCATGTAAAAAGGCTGTAATAGGTAGCGTTTTATGAAAACAAACAGAACGTAAAGAAAAGGGGTTGGACATTGCATGGCATTATTTAACAGATAGTGGAGAAACAATAAAAAAAAGTACGCTGGCGGCGAAGGGATCGCACTCAAGTCAGTGTCCCGAGTGCTGCTGCTGTGTGATTGCTAAAAACAAATAAAGTTAGCGATAGTTACTACTACTTAACTACGCTAATTTCTGAAGAGATTGGTATAGTTAGGAGGGATACCTTCGCGTCGATGTTGGCTGAGTTGTCTGGTCTTTTTTGAAGTATCAGGGAAAGAGGAAAAGTCATTGGGAAAAGGATATCCATAAGTTCAAGTTATGAAAACTTCCTGGTTTGTGGCGGTCCGGTGAGGTTCCGTAGTACTCCTCGTTTCGTAAATACCACCTAAGCGTAGAACGTCCCCCCCCCCCCCCTCAAAAAAAAAAAAAAAAGAAGAAACCCGGAGATGCGCTGATTACAGATGCATTGATAGAAACGGTAAGATAAGGTGACTTTAATGTGGAGTGTATTCAAGGTGTACCATTGGCACCGATTCTGCGGTGCCCATTCGGTCTTAACTGAAAAAGTTCAGTATTTTAGAGGGCGTTTGGAGTGGTGTGTGTGTGTCTGTGTGTGTGTGGGGGGGGGGGGGGGAGAGAATGTGACTCATAACTAGGGTTTCGTGTTACCCGCCGGTAAAAGTTTCGTCTATTCGGATTTATTTGATAAACTCTGATCTTCGACGTGCCAATCCCCTCCCCCCCCCCCCCCCAAACACACACACACGTATATTTTACAATTAATGGTTTAATCAGCGCGTAGAGTAAATGGCCCTGAGAAAATGCCACCACACGTATCTTTCAAATTCCGGTCAGGACAACAGGTCATTGTACTATCGGGTCATGACAAAAGTCACTGTTTATGTTTCCGGTTCGGGTCATACTATTTGTGCCTGATAGGTAAGAGAGGTTGTGTTTTTGTAACTGTGAAAGCTGTGGACCATAGAAATTATATAAAGTGGGGAAGAGGACAGTTAAACGTCTCTATTTCATTCTTTTCCACTCTGCCTCTTGTGGCCGCGCGGTAGGTTGATGGAATAGCATAGAATGAATACAGGCTTCCCAGCAACTACCTCCAGTAGGGTATCGATTTCAACGTATCGACATTTATCAAAATAACACTTGTGTGCCACTTTTGTTCTAGGACAAATTAGTATTACCAGTAGTAATAGCACAAACGCCAAATCCAACTGAAGAAAATATTAATTGATACAATCGCATTTTTTTTCTTTTTTGTCCAGCATACGTTTAAATGTGGATATTATTTGCTATTTTTAATAAGAAACACTGCGAAATTGAGCTCCGAATTTCGGAGAATTCGGAATCAAACAAAAATAAACTCCGATAAACTCCGAATTTTCAGCAAAAAAAGAAACTCAGAAAAACACTCTCCGAACTTGACGAAAACGAAACTCCGAAAACACGGAACCCTACACATTACTGACCTTATGACCACTTTCTTTCGAAGTTTTCAGCTTGTCTGCGAGATCGGTTCAACTTTCAATAAAAGCTCCGGGGGCGCGGGGGTTTTCAGGACGAAATTTGGGTTTTTCACCTGAGAGGGATCTGTGCCGAATTCTTTTTTAAAAGAAGAGAGTTTAATCGTGAAATCAAACAACGGAAATCAAGAGCGTCCGTGAATGCCGCGCATTCTTTAACACCCCTAGCTTCCGTCTACTAGAGTAGGGCATAAATACGAGTATTTTATTGTCATTTCTGCCGTCGGCACGAATTTATCACCTCTCGCAGTCGTGAAAATGGGGGGAAGCGCACGGACTACAATGCTTGCTAATTTCTCCATTTTGATATTTTCCTCTCCGACCGCTTTCCGACCGAAGTGGTACTGAAGCTCATGCTCGTCCTGTGTACAGATACGAGCACACGACGATAATGTCAGATCATGATAAGGCCCTAATGCGTCTTACAGAAGAGGTCACGTCGGCTGCCAAAGACGCCAACAAATAAGAAGACCAGTACCTGGTGCTCAATATACATTTTACACAAACGCCTTTAATTATTGCATTTTCGTTAGTATACTGGTTTTCGTTAATAAACCTTATATAACTCAAAGCTTACCAGTCTACAAATATTTACTGCAATTAACCTATACATTTTGTTTGAAATAAGAACCGAAAAAAGTGCGCGGAATTTCAAATAATACAAACCGAAAACGCCGAACTCTAGCTATATTGACAATGTCATGTTTGGACGCTGTGCTATTTTGTCGCTGTGCTGTTTTGACGTCGTGCTGTTTTGACGCCGTGCTATTTTGGCACGTGCTCTTCTGTCGCTGTGCCGTTTTGACGCTGTGCTGTTTTGTCGCGTGCTATTTTGACGCGTGCTGTTTTGTCGCCGTGCTGTTTTGACGCTGTGCTGTTTTGACGCGTGCTGTTTTGGCCGTGCTGTTTTGTCGCGTGCTGTTATGTCGTGTGCTGTTCTGTCAGGTGCCCCTGGTATCGAGCCAAAGACTTCTTCATTTTCAATGGAGCGCTCACCAACTCACCCAACCATGAGTTAGACGTCACTAGTGCAAACAGTTTTTTTTAGCTGCCACCAGGCCAGGGTGAACAACAAAGAGAATGAACGGCCTGCACTTTAAGGTTATGATAAAAACGCAGTTAATGCAAAGGTGCATGCGAGCTGGACAAGAACGCGCGCCAAACACCTAGCTATGTTTGGAAATTTGTGTTTGTCCTTTGTCGCCCTTGTTCCCCTTCTCCAGAGATTATTATCGCCATCTAAACTCTTAAAAAAATTTTTTTTAAATTTTATTTTAGTATTTTCTTAAGCCGTTGGTGATTACAGTTATTGCTGTAGAAGCTTTCGTTACAGTCTTGAATGATTCGGCCGACGGTATGTTTGACAATGGGTCGGTAGTTTTATTGCCACCAAACTGTTTCTTTTTGTGCGTGGTAATCTTTGGAAGGTTGCTTAGTAGCAGCTTCTTTCCACAGAAACCCTCGCACGTGATCATTGCAAGGTGACAAAATAAACATACTTTTTTTATACCCTTTGTTGGACCTCATTATCCTGGAGACGAGGGGCTGAGGAGCACTAGCTGTGACCTAACGAAGTAATTACTCATTGAATCCTAATAGGAGTAAAACATCAAGACTTGGCTCATTTGAAAACAACTCCTCCAGTGGATTATATTCTGGTTGTTTATTCTCCACGCCCTGGACTATTCTGTCATTTTCCCGGCAGGTCCAAGGCCTTGTGCGGCGTTCCTACGTCCGATACAGCAACGACAGGAGCCTGAGCAGAAGGCACAGACCCAGTGTGCCTTTGACAACCACTACCACCACCACCACGGCGACCACAGCCATGTGAAACAAATAAAAAGGAAAACTCTCAAATCACTCGATATACGCTGTGCAGCGCTGTAGATTTACGTGCGCACAACGTGTCAAACGACATGAAAGGCCACGGGGGGCAATAGCAAACGGTAGCGCGTCATCCACCCCCGTGTCCAGATGCATAACTGTCTGTTCATGAAGCGCGGTCACCTCTGACAATGCGTGCAACCGCACGATCGGGGACCTTCGGCATTTTGCTCGGTTTGATGCTGTTTTTATGCAAAATCGATACCAGAGAGCATTAACAATGGTAAATGATTCTTTTTTTTTAACGGACCTTTTTATATTAGCGATTGATCAGCGACAGAGTCATCGACACCGAAAGCGTTCGGCCATTTCTAGGCACCGGGGAACTCGAGCACTTCAGCTCAATCACCGGGATCACACTCTCGAGACCAGAAAACACGGTCTGCCATGTTCGTTCATTACCGCAAAACGCTCCGTACCCGCTGCTGCGCTTGTGAATTCACTGCGATTAAAGGTTTCGGTCAGCTTCTGGAGATACAGTTTCTGCCGTTATATAGCTACACTGATTACAACTCGACAAAGGGCGAATGCTACCGTCCCCGTGAAGCACACGTGGCGCAATTCTGCTAGCGATTTTCGGTTCCAACGTCGCTCGTGGAAGCAACAAATACGTGGGCGGCAGCTGAAGTGTTTGCCACACGATACCGAACATCGCGAGCCTGCAGAATTGCACCACGCGAGACGGACTTGAACCTACCAGAACGTTACACTTTCCACAGGAGTGCACTCTGGCGATCTGTTGTCACGAGCCTCGCACAGCCTCTTCGAAGCCCCATATCAGTGATCCGATATTGGAGGAAAGTTTCAACGGATACAGCGCGCGCGCGCAAAAGGATACATATTAGAAACAAATTAAAAAAGATTAATGGTTTTCATGTTTATTTTTTTGTTTCTGAAGTTGTTTCTAAGAGCAATGTTCGTCACAACTATGTCTTGTGACGAACGTTGCAACTCGCGCGTAGTTTGTGCATTTCACACGTGCAGACGAGGACAGTTGTAGAGACCAATGTTGCCATATAGTTTGGGAATTCCGTCGAAATCGACGGAATCTGCCAAGAGCAATGATGTGACTCCTGCGTCCTTTGCGCTATACTGCACCAATGTGCTTATCCTGCTACATCCTGCTACAATTTACCAAAATATGAGGAATTGGCGCCAACATTGCGCCAAAACTTAATTTCACTTTAATAATACTGAAAATTAATTAGGTCAGGCCTCCCTACCCGGCCGGATCGTCGCAATGTAGCTTATGCGATTTTTTAGAACTTTTGATTATCGCCCCAAATAACGTACTATTCGATTAAATTTCGTATCAAAGACTGACACTAGTCAGAAGTTTCGCAAGAAGTCTCATATTTGTGGTCTGTTCTGGCGGGTTAGCTTCGTTGAGTGTGCTTCTCACCGCGCACTGGTGTGCTGTAGAGAAGCGACAAACGCAAAGTAGGCATCGCGATTTTGCGTGTCTTGCTTCGCCGCAGTTCGCCCGCGTGCTAAGGGGAAAACAAGAGTCCTTCAGAGCCGAGACGCGACACAATTCCTCAATACAACTTGCGCTTGTATATATGCTACACCCTAAAAAAAATCCCGTGCGTTTAGTTTCTCGCACAACACTCGGAGAGATAATCACCGCAACCTGCGGAGGCAGCTTAGCGAATGACGACGCTGAAACATATGTTTAGACCAAAAAAACGCAGTCTGATTTGTGACATTAAGCTAGTTTTGAAATTGCATGGGCTTGTCCGCACGAGCAGAGACATGGCGGCGGCCAGTGTTTCCAAAGAAGGGCTCCTGGCAGGTTCCATTTAGACTGTTCGTGCGTATGGCGCGTGAGTTTATCGCCCCCCGAAGCAACGAAAATGCGCTAGGCTTTGGCTAAGGACTTGTAAATACTGGAATGGTGTATATGGGGGTATTCATTGGACGTCATATTTGAGTGCGCTGTTCACTGCGCATGCTTAGAACGAGCTCACATGAATAGGCTGCTAAGACCGGCAATCTTGATGGTGTGGAATGCAAGCTGCAAAAGAACCTTGGAAGCTCGCCGTCAGCACGCACTCAGCAGCAGCTGACTCCGCTGTGCTCGATAGTGGATGCTCCCTATTGGCGGCGAGATGTTTTGGTGACGCCCTCCTACGTTTCCCTCTCGTGACGTCATTACCTTGCGAACAACAAGTTCGATGGTGCTTGTAATTAGCATGGTCGAAGCCTGAAATCATTGCGCTCTGAAACCAACCCTGCCAACACCGCCGAAATTGAAGTTCTTCCATTGCTCTTATTTCCGTCGATGAGAAATCCCTTGCTGACGTCATAGTCAGCATTCGGCCAATCCTGAAAGGCCGACCACAGCGACGCTTTCGATCGTGCACGTTGCCAATAGTTAGTCTTAAGCTATACATTAAAACGTTTAATGAAACACTAATATTTATATGACATTTGAGAATAAATATAATATGATAACGTATCAAGATGCAATAACAAAATCATTAAACAAATGCATACTGCTCTCTTTCAAGACCTTAATCCACTTCCCTTAGACAAATTTCACAACGAGCTTTCTCAAATTAGTTGGGAAATGGCATATAGCAAAACTAAGCCCAACGACGCCTACGGCACGTTTTTGTCTGTATTTAAATCAACTTATATAAAGTGCTTTCAATACAAATCACCAAGAAATAAAACGGCGAAAAAGTTTGATAACAAATAAGTTATTAAAACTTATAAAACAAAAATATCATCTCTTCAAACAATTCTTAGAGACAAGAAGCTCAGATTATGTACATGCATTTGAAGAGTTTTAAAATAAAGTGACCAATTTTCTTAGACACGCTAAATGGACTTATCTTCAGAGCCTTTTCAATGCTGAAATCATGAAACGATGCGACGTTATATGGCAAAGACTGAATACAGTACTTGGTCGTGAGCAGCTGCATACCCAATGTGCCCAAGAACTTATAATAAAGGGTCTGCCAATATCAGGAACGCAGCTAGCTGACTCTTAAAATAACTTTTCTGTATCAATGGCAAACAGCACACATAATCCACGCAGTCTGGAATATTTAAAATCCAGAATCCGTGAAAGCGCGTTTCTAAGCTGTACTAAATGCTGACAAAATTTATCGCATATTTCTTTCCTACCGAAACCGTAATTGTTATGAAGCCGGTGATTTACAAATTCGCCCAGTTAAACACGTCTTAGATATAATTTGTCATCCTTTTGAGCATGTGCATAATCTTTCGCTTATACACGGCGTATTTCCAAAACGTATTCAGTTGGCTAAGGTGGGCGTTTTATTTAAAGGAGGTAACAAAAATGATTTATCGAACTACAAACCAATATCAATTCTTCCAGCTTTATCAAAGTGCCTCGAAAAAAAAATATTAATGATATAATGACATCACTTTTTTTTAAAAGCATAGCGTAATAACGGGGACTGTGTTAGCTTTAGAAAGGGTCGTTCAACAGAGGCATGACTTCTAGCACTAAAACAACGGATCAATAGGATTGAACAAAAATTACTAACACTAGGGGTCTTTGTAGAGTTCTCGAATGCATTCGACAGAATAAACCATGAGACCCTAATAAGAAAACTTGAGCTTTATGGTTTTCGGGGGATATTTTTAAGTTGTTATAAACAATAAAATGTCAGCTATTACACCAATTAATTCTGGGGTACCCCAAGGTAATATCTTTGGACCATTGTTGTTGAACATTTATATTAACGGCATAATAAACTTGGCAATAATACCCAATTTGTGATTTACGTTGACCATACTACATTATTTTTTAAAATTCTACCAACACTAACAAATTAATAGATCATGCGAAAAATGTGCTAAGTAAGCTAGACAAATGGATTTTTTTCAATTCCCTAACCATTAACATACCTAAAACAAAGGCTGTTATTTTCAGGCCTTAAAATCAGAAAGTAAATATTGAAAACAACCTTGTGATTGGAACCTCAAAATTGGATATTGTGCCTTCAGTAAAAAGCCTAGGAGTTCTTTTCAAGGAGCACTTAGTTTGGAATAAGCATACTGAGATTGTCGCAAACAAACTTGCCCGCGTTGTAGGCGTTCTGACAAGGCTACGCTTGTTTCTGCCAACTAATGTAAAATTGCTTATTTAAACTTACCATTCCTTTCGAACCTCAACTTCTGTCATTTAATTTGGGGGAACAGAACTATGACAAACATTTCTAAACTATTCTTACTACAGAAAAAAGGCGTTCGCTCTATCTCTGGTTCAGCGTATACGATGCTCGTAAAGAACCACTTTTTAAGAGCGTTAATGTCTGTGCAGTTCAGTTCTTATAATGACTCACTGCTCAAGAGATACTATGTCGGAAAAATACAAAATAACAATTTTATTGAACAGGTATCGAAATTAGCAAGAAACCCAAACAGCTACAACACACGTCACAATGAAATATGGAATATACCTTCTGCACGCTCAAACTACGGAACTCAATAGCTGCGTTTGCCACCTTTACTCAATTCGCATTCTGATTAGACAGCAAATATATTTTAATCCGTTACTACGTTCGCCTTATTCGATTTTGTTTTAAGTGCACCGTGGGTTCAATGCATGTTAGCTGCTGTATAAATTGCATAGATTGTGATTTGTTTGTTTGTTTATTATTCTGAAGCACCGTTGTTGCTGATCTATATATGGGCACAGACGCAGTCAAGCCGCACTCCAGTGGCTTTTTGTCTGTGCTTCCGACACCATCGCAGTGCAATGTGGTGTCGAATAAATTTAATTTGATTTGATTTGATACTGTGTTTCTCCGGAAGTGCGAGCTAACCCGATGCTACAAGTGCGAGCATGTTGCCTTGAACCAACGTTACTAGAGGGGGCCATTTTGGGAACTCGAGCGGCATTCACCGGCGGGCCGCTGCGGTAGCGGGAGAAACAGGGGCGCTGCCGTCGCCGTGAGATTGGCTCTCTCCGCGTCGTCTGCTGCACTTGCATCGTTTGCATGGTCTGCAGC